TTGTATATTTACATACCGGCAGTAAGTGCTCAAGTCAAAAGAATTATCTCAGAAAAATATCACTGATAATTGTATTGTATAATTATAGTTAGAGATGTCCCGATCCGATCACGTGATCGGGGATCGGAGCCGATCACGTGATTTTCAAAAGATCGGAATCGGGAGAAAAAAATCGGGGATCGGGATTTTATTTTATTTTTAAATTTTATTTATATGTTTTAATTTTGTATTCAATGTTACAATACAAAAATGACCATGTTCAAGTCTTAAAGTCATCCTGAGGCCTTAGTTTTGGTTTCAAATTACAGAACATCATGTATGTGTTGCTTCTTTGGGGCTTGTTTTCATAGACCTGGTTGCTTATTTCTCTCAAATCTGGCAACAGAGTGGGCAGGGCGCAGTGTCTAATTGTAGCAGTAAGCTAACGAGTACTGATAAGCTTTATTTTGTTTTGATCCAATGCTGCACAACTGAACTGATCCAATGCTGCTGTGAAAGAAAGAAGCTATATCCATGTTGGATAGAATATCCAATTTAAATAAAAAAATAACCTTAAGGGACAACTTGAATGCTTTTTTTCCTCTTAATGCATTGCATAAAGATCGGATCGGGAAAAATCGGTATCGGCAAATTGTCAAAATCAAATGATCGGAATCGGATCGGGAGCAAAAAAAGGTGATCGGGACATCCCTAATTGTTACCCTCAGCTCTCTGGGTCTCCGTCACTCACCTGTGTTGTCTCTTGAGGTCACAGTGTTTTGCATCTCCTCCACCTTCCCCATCAGCCGGTTGTATTGGTCTTCAGCCACCTTCAGGTCGTTGCTGAGAGACGTCAGGCTGGCGTTCTTGCCCTCCAGACTTCCCTGGAGCTCCACCATGGCCCTCTCCAGCTGGGTGGAGTTCTGCCTCAGTGTGCTGACCTCTGCAGTGAGGGTGCTCTGCTTCTCCTGGCTGAGCTGAGACTCCGCCTTCTTCGCCTGCAGCTGAGCGTTCACCGTAGCCAGCTGAGCCTGAAGCTCCGTCTTCTCCTTGAGAGCCTGGAGCAAAAAGACAGCGAGGTCAGGGTTACGGCCAATCATTTTAGTTTTCCAATAAAGTATCACCTTGATAGGTCAATTAACAGCCATTTGGTTTAGTTTCGAACATTTATTTATGGGCTTGACTTCCCATTTAGTATCAGCAACGAGAATTTAGAAGCGCAGTCGAGCATGGTACACAATATATTACAACATTAACCTAGTTGTCATCAGCAGTGTTTATGCAAATGCTAACGTAAGAGACTTTAATGTATGAAACAACATATACTACAAACAAATTATAGAAAGGTTCCAAGTGGACATTCATGTATCCATTATTCATATATAACATTATTGTTATAGTTAATGGGGTTTCCTTAGATTTCTTTTTGGTTCGAATTTAACAGTAAACAAGGTTTGATTTGGATTAGGGTAAGCATTTACATTGGATTTGAAAATGATGGCGTGGAGGGTCAAGAATTGTAAATATAGTTGTATTTATCAATTTACCATCCAAATATAGGCATACAGAAAGCTTAAAGTAGCTTTTTACTACCAATTTGTCACAGAATAATCACATTTTTTCAGTTTGGACAAGTTCATTTGTCCAATCCTGTACATAACAGGGTTTCCGCTAGGGTTTTTTCTCGCCGGTCAAACGTCCGGACAGAATTTATTTTACCGGACACATTTGAAACTTACCGGTCATGTTTCAATAATAATAAGAATTGTGTAGCAGAGGTTCCGTTAGCAGGTAATTACCGGACTAGGACCGGATATGCTGATGTTTAAAACTCAGTTAATGGGAGTCATTTTTATATTGCTTCAGTTTATAATCGTAACAGATCGAAAAATTCAGATTCATTTTTCAATAAATGATTCAACAAACAACATCATTATTACATTCAAAGAAACTACTTGTAGTAGATGAAGTATATTATTCAAAAGTTTACATTAACTTTGAATAATAACACGGGAGAAACGGATCCTCTCTTTTCCTCCCTCCCTCTCTCTCCTGACAGCCAGTTTCTCATGCAGCGCGCTAAACAGTGGGCGGGGCTTCAGGTGATTATGGAGCAGCTGATCTGATCTCTCTCTCGCGTCCGGTTATACTTCACTCGCGTTTATGTCCATATCGATCAGATCCAGCTCTCCTGATCGGCCTTTATAGAGAGCACAGATCAAACTATTAAGAGTGAATATCGGCCGATAATGATCGGCGGCCAATCGATCGGAGCATCGGACATTTTGACCGGCAGGTTTTGAATTTACCGGTTTTTAATAAATGTTACCAGCTAAAAACCGGTAATTAGCGGCTAACGGAAACCCTGGTACATAATATGTGTGGAAAGGTAATTTGTGAAAGAATATGGAAAATATTGGTAGAGAAATCAATCAGTGATTGTACCTGATTGGCCTCAGATGACAAAGACTCCAGCTGACCCTCCAGCCTCATCTTCTCCTTCAACACCTGCAGCATCTCATCATGGCCCATCACTGAGCTCTCCAGAGAAACACTGCAACAAATATTAAACACACGAGTACTCAAGAGACAAGTCAACTAATAAACACATTCACTTTCAATCTGTAATCTACAGTAACAAATGGTTAAGCTCTCTAAGTTACAGGCAATACTAAACTGCAGATCTCAGTAAGCATTGTTTGAATGTAATGTTGAGTTAACATCCCTAAACCCTATTACATAGAGTTTATGGAATCTCAAGGGTTTAAGGTGCTCTTGTTATCGATGAAACTGATCTATTGGACACTTCTTTCTATCAAATTGTAATAATTGTAATGTACGTGGTTTGTCCTGTTTGTTTGTCAAGCTTTTGTTTTGGTCGGGACCCCCTTGAAAACGAGACGGTGCATCTCAAGGGGTTTATCCTAATAAATACATTTATATATATATAAGGATCTATCTCTGATGCTGACACAGTGTAAAGCCCCCTGAGAAAAATGTGTGATTTTTGGCTGCATAAATCCCATTTGATTTGTTGTTGCCGTATACCTGCTGGAGAAGCTGTCCCTGCGGCTGCGCGGCTCCGCTCCGTCTCCCTGCTCCAGCTCCAGGAGGTGCTGCTCGTCGCTGGCCGCCTGCAGCACCTCCTGCAGCGAGGGGAACTGACCCATGGCTTCAGCAGCGATCTCCCTCCCCTGCACCGTGTAGCCCCCCCGCTGCCTCTCCACTGCGGCAGAGAGCGTCCTGAACTGCCCTCTGGTCGACACGCTGCTGTAAGACGAGCTGTCGCTGTCGTTGCCATCGTTCCCCGGCCTTATTCCCGATTCACTGCCGTCAACTTCAGACACGTTGTCCCCAATTTGGAGCGAGGCGCCGGGCTGTGGCTCCGAGTCACAGGCGCTGCCCTCTGACATCACGCTGACCTCAGAGAGAGTGGACACTGAGCTCATGGTGGACTGCAGGGAGGTCATAGTGCCGTCTGCTGTTCTCCCTCCACCTAAAGATTCAAGGCTTGTATTGTCATGTGTACATAGCTATAGTGTAGTTATGACAATGAACATCTTAGGCCACAGGCTCCTCCCACAATGCAACACAATAAAACAAATCAAATAGTGAAAGTAAATAAAAATAGAACATAATAGAAATAGTGCAGAATAGTCTAGAAGTCAT